ACGTCCATGGCCTCCAAAAAGCGTCCCTTTAGGTCAAAAGTGGTTTTAGACCAGCTAGTGATAGTAAATTAGAACTACTTGCAGAACTGAGTGATAATGATTTGTGGGGAAATTTGTCATCACACACTGAAAACGACTCTGCGACTGAGCACAGTGATGTGCGAACTTAGCGCTCTATTTCAAATTTCAGTGTTTTTGGTTTGATTACATTATTGAATAAAATGTATTATTATTATATTATTATTTTTTATGATTATTCATTATATTATAATTTATGATTTCGTGTTTCAAATTTTATCATACCAGACTCTTGTTCAGACAGATTTCAGTGAGTTATTCCTAAGAATTACAGGCCTACAATGAAAAAAACAACATATTTCCATTGAAAACAATGTACCGCTTTGAGCACAGAAATACTGACATAATCATACTGCTAGGGAGGTTAAGGAAGCCTCCCAATTGGGTTGGACTGGCCAGGCCGCATTCCTGCTCCTCATTGCAGAAGCTGTCCATATCGTTCAAGCTACTAAGTCACTGCTGTGCATTCCATAAATGGATCCGAGAGGGAAGGACCTACCCGCCGTATCTGTTTGTACCGTGTTGGAACTCTTACAATATACAGTTCACATTATTCAGCCTCTGTGTGATCTCTGATGTCGACACACCAAGCTCACACAAAATTTCTAGCATCAGGGATAGTCCACAATCACGTGACAGCTTACAAGCTTGTCTACACTAATATACCAGCCCAGGAAAAACTTTTTTTCATTAGGGATAGAGTGGAGATTTATTAGAACACACGTTAAGTTTTTTTATTGCTGGTTGTGCCCCCTCATCCATTAGGGAGATTTACCCACTCAAGCTTTGGGCTGACCCCAGAACTGTAATTGAGAGAAAATTTTCTGAATGGGGACACTAGTTCTGATGACCCTGTTGACAACCTGACACTCCGTTACTTTGGAGGGATTTCCTTTCAATTTCTTTTTTGGCTATGGGGCAGGAAGTGAAGAAAAATCTCCCCAATGGGATAGAGATGGCAAAAAATGACAGGGGTTATACATCTCCTTTACTTTCTCCAAGATTAGAAAAATCTGTGCCTTTAATTCTACTTTAAGCCTAAAAAGGACCTAAAATACATGCTGGGTGGCCTCCAGGGTTCACGGGGAGCCTAGAGTTGATGTATTATACCATCATGACATGTTTGAGATATTTTTTTTTTACATCTTTAAATAGCCTGCATAATGGGTTCATTGTGTATGTCATACTGTTTTATTGTGATTAAACCTATTTATTTATGTTTATTACTAACAGTTGGATAGGCCATGCAAATATCGGCAGTTTTAGAAAATGTGATGGATCTTGTTAATGAGAGTGATATGGAGTTGCAGAACATGTTAATCTGAAACAAACAATATGCTCTTTTTTAGTATAACAACTATACATTGCTATGTGTCAGTAACAGAATATAGGACATAGTCTTAATCTGCATTACATATTCAGAAAATTGTCACAAAGGCACATCATTTGCATAGGGCTAAATGTGATAATAGACATACATACACCAGTAATCATTAAAGCATAAAAATTGCTCTTGGCATTAATCACTGACAAAGCTGGAAGCGCACCGAGAAATCTCACTAAAGCATGCAATGTTGCTTGTCTTTTTATCCCATCTCATCCCTTCCAAGTGATCATGAAGTGTAAAAATAGCAAAATGTGACATGTATGGGATTTGTATGGGGGAAAAAAAATCTACATTTTCTAGACCATGGGGACAATAGGGCCTGACAGCTATTTCAGCCATGTAGTCCTATAACCGTGCAAAATTGTTAGAAAAAAATGACAGTAATATATGACCTATACCATAAACTATCAGAGGTCTCTACTTTTAAGATAGTATTTTTTTTAAAAACAAATTTTGGATTTATCTAAGGGTCTCATATTTTCTCAGGTTGCTGATTATTTCATTTTTTAAGTTTATAACATGTAAAGAAATGATCAGGCACTGGCCAAATGCTTGTTTCTTTTTAGTTTTTAACAGTAAAATGTCAGTCAATACTAACAATAAACTAATAGTAAAATGCACTAATTCCAGCAATGAAAATTTGGTGCTACAAGTTCCAAAGTCAATAGGCCAATTACTGGAGTCGGTGACTGTTACAGTCAGTTTATTGGGAACACTGACTGAAGTTTTACCATTTTAATTGCATTTTAGAATGAATATATCCAATTCAGGCTAGCTGTTACAGTATTGCTCTGTTTTTTTTCTCCTGCAGGAATTTTGCTTTGTAACGCATAGTAGCCTGGGGATGAGTAAGTCTTTGAGTGAGGAGTTCACCTCAGGACAGGCTGCAAGGCTCTAACAGGTAAGGACTTCTGGAGCCCTCCCACCTTTCCAGAAACCAACTGAGAGCTTTCTGGAACAGGGGTGGAAGAAGGGAGGAGGCCCAGATTTGCATGTTTGAGGGACACTTGCCAATTCCCTGGCAGGAGGCTAAGCATGGTGACCAGGGCAATCCTCAAATGTGGCAGAATCTGGGGGGAGGTGTGCAGTGTCAGGTGGAAGGTAGATTGAGGAAGGCTGGAGTGTGGAACCTGGAAGGGGGCCCCAGGGAGGGGAGCACACCTCCAGGCAGGTCGCTGGAAAAGAGGATCTCCACTGTATCACTTGTCTCTTTGGGAGGATATCCTGAGCAGCAGGAAAGGAGCAAGCCTAGTGAAAGGTGTGAAGGCAGCCACCAAACCACTATGCTGAAAGGACAGTGTGAGTACTCCTACACCCCCTGGGCCAGATAAGCAGAGAAAGCAGTCAGGTGCAAGACCCAACTACCTTTTCATCTGGGACTGTTTCCTACATTAACAGCTCTTGGGCCCCCTTGCCCAGGGAATACCTTCAGTGCAGCTCAGTGAAGAAGAGTTATCATCCAGGGTCTGAGGAGGTACACTAGGAAGAGTCTTTGGAGCTCTTCAATGAGAGAGACTGTTGCTATCTGCATTTTTTTACATAGTTGCTAAGGCGTTTGTCCTCAAGTTCTGCAGTTCCTTGGGCATCCCATATACCCCTAGACCCCATCCAAGTTCTTAACCCCTTAATAAAATCACAAAAACCAACCAGCCCTTAATGCTTCTTTTTTATTATAAATAATGTAAATGGAGATACTTGCAAACAGTGGCGTCACTATGGGGGTGACACCAGGAGCAGTCCACACCCTCATAGCCTCTCAGCCAGTAGGGAGCCCCATGGGAGATTCATTGCCAGATCTAGGGGGGTGCTGGAGATCTTCGTTGTGCCTCCCCCAAAAGCCATCAGTCCCCCCTTACGCCTCCACCTCCGCTATGCCCAGCCATCATACTCCTTTGCATTTCCCAGGGCTGAGACACAGCATAATGTGGAGAGAGCATAGCGCCAATAGCATCGCTAGCCCCCCAAATCCAGATACTGCCCCCACTGTGATCTCCAGCCGCAACCCACATCTCTTCCATCTGTCAAGTAGAGTTGGGGAAGCGCTTCATCTCCTAGGCTCCATCCTACATTGCAAAGTGAAGAAAATGGCGGTGTGCAGAAGGGAAGGAAAGTGAATTTGAAAAGATACTGGCATGGATGGAGGTAGAAGTAAAATGTCTGGACTGGACTTAATGGTCACAGATTGTGAGAGAAGTCTCGCTCTCTCATTCCATCTTTCTCACCCCCCCCCCACCACTTCTCTCTCAACCCCTCTCTCTCTTACCCCCATCTCTCTCTCTATTTCTCATTCCATATCTCACCCCCCACCACCTCTCTCTAATCCCCCCCTCTCTCTCTCACCCCCACTTTCTCTCTTACTGTCCCTTACCCCCCTATCTCTCTCACCCCCCGCCACCTCTCTCTCACTCCTCTCTCTGTCTTACCCCTCTCTCTCTCTCATTTCCCCCCCTCTCTCTCTCATTCCCCATCTCTCACCCCCTCACTACCTCTCTTTCACCTCCCCTCTATCTCACCCCCCACACTCTCTCACCATTCACCCACCCCCCTTTATCTCTTATGCCCTCTCTCTCACCCCCCTTTCTCTATCTTACCCACCTCTCTCTCTTACCCCCTCGCTCTCATTCCTCCTCTCTCACCCCCTCTCTCTCTCACCACCCCCCACCACCTTTCTCTCACCCCCTCTTTCTCTCTTACACCCTTATCTCTTACTCCCGCTCTCTCTCCCCCTCCCCCTCCAACTGCCGCTCACCTCCCTCGCTTCTCACTTTTATTGGGGGGATGACACCATGGTTTACCACACCAGATGACACCAACACTAGTGCCGCCACCACTTGCAAAGGTGATCAAGAACACCCAAATTCCCAAGATGGAAAGCAACAGAGGTGGGATTTATGGAATAATGAAATCTCTGATTGAGTATCCAAGAAAAGTAATAACCCAGGGGCTAACTGGACTGGCATCAATCACCTACAATGAAAATATCACTTTTTGCATTTTTTTAACCCCCTAGCGGTCTGATTATGTCAATATTTCTGCGCTCAAAGCAGTACATTTTTTTGCATGGAAATATGTAGTTTTTTTATTGTAGGCCTGTAATTCTTAGGAATAACTCACTGAAATCTGTCTGAACAAGAGTCTAGTAAACATCCCGGGTATGATAAAATTTGATACACGAAACCATAAATTATAATATAATAAATAATCATAAAATATAATATAATAATAATAATAATACATTTAATTCAATAATATAATCAAACCAAAAAACACTGACATTTTAAATAGAGCGGCAAGTTCGCACATCACTGAGCTTAGTCACAAAATCGTTTTCAGTGTCTGATGACGAATTTCCCCACAAATCATTATCACTCAATTCTGCAAGTGGTTCTAATTTACTATCGCTGTTCTCTAGCTGGTCTAAAACCGCTTTTGACCTAAAGGGACACTTTTTGGACAGCATGGAATTTTCTCAGTTTCCAGGCAGAAAGAACAGTAAAAATGCAGGCAGGGAACAGGAAAAAGCACTCGGGACAAAATGTATGTGAAATGGTTTGATACAGTAATGTTATACTATGCGATTTTAGTGTATTTAGTGAATGTCGCTTTTAACATTTTTGAATCTCCCGCCATTCCGTCCCCGTACGTCCCGTACCTCCCGACGCTCACAGGGAGCCCAGAAGACGGATGCCGGCATCGGTCGGAGGAGATGGCCAGGGACGCTGCAGGGGGCACATTGCGGGAGCGAAGGACAAGGTAAGTGCAAGAGGGAATCCTTGAGCAACGCTGCAGGGTACTGGTTCTGGTACTGAAACTTTACCCCGAGCTACATTCGGGAATACCACCAGGGGGGTTAATGACATGCATTTTTGCAGTGAAGTCATAACTTGAAACAGGACATATTAAAATGTATGTTAAACCCTATTTTTTATTTACAAATTAAAAAATTCTTTATGTTATTATTTTCATATTATTTTACTAAGCAAAAATAAACACAGCCATACATAAAAAAAAAAAAATGTATTACCAAGGCATATTCCTACCCCCCCCCCCCCCATAAAATATAGAATTTATATATTTTTTGTTTTGGAAATAGTGTGTGATAAGTATAACCCCTGTCAGGTTTTTTTTCAGTTGGGGAGTTTTGCTTTTAGTTCCTGTCCCAAGGGCAAAGCAGGATGTAATATACAGCTGAAACTCGAAAAATTAGAATATTGTGCAAAAGTTCATTTATTTCAGTAATGCAACTTAAAAGGTGAAACTAATATATGAAATAGACTCATTACATGCAAAGCAAGATAGTTCAAGCTGTGATTTGTCATAATTGTGATGATTATGGCTTACAGCTCATGAAAACTCCAAATCCACAATCTCAGAAAATTAGAATATTACATGCAATCAATAAAACAAGGATTGTACATAGAACAATATCGGACCTCTGAAAAGTATAAGCATGCATATGTACTCAGTACTTGGTTTGGGCCCTTTTTGCAGCAATTACTGCCTCAATGCGGCATGGCATGGAAACTATCAGCCTGTGGCACTGCTGAGGTGTTATGGAAGACCAGGATGCTTCAATAGCGGCCTTCAGCTCTTCTGCATTGTTCGGTCTCATGTCTCTCATCTTTCTCTTGGCAATGCCCCATAGATTCTCTATGGGGTTCAGGTCAGGCGAGTTTTCTGGCCAATCAGCACAGTAATCCCACGGTCATTGAACCAGGTTTTGGTGCTTTTGGCAGGTGCCAAGTCCTGCTGGAAAATGAAGTCAGCATTCCCATAAAGCTCGTCTGCGGAAGGAAGCATGAAGTGCTCCAAAATCTCCTGGCAGACGGCTGCGTTGACCCTGGACTTAATGAAGCACAGTGGACCAACACCAGCAGATGACATGGCTCCCCAAATCAACACAGACTGTGGAAATTTCACACTGGACTTCAAGCATCTTGCAGTGTGTGCCTCTCCATTCTTCCTCCATACTCTGGTTCCTTGGTTTCCAAATGAGATGCAAAAGTTGCTCTCATCAGAAAAGAGGACTTTGGACCACTGAGCAACAGACCAGGTCTGTTTTTTCTTTAGCCCAGGTAAGACACTTCTGACGTTGTTTGTTGTTCAGGTGCGACTTGACAAGAGGAATACGACATTTGAAGCCCATGTCTGTGTGTGGTGGCTCTTGATGTGCTGACTCCAGCCTCAGTCCACTCCTTTTCCCCAACACTTTTGAATGGCCTTTTCCTGACAATCCTCTCCAGGCTGTGGTCATCCCTGCTGCTTGTGCACCTTTTTCTTCCACACTTTTCCTTCCACATAACTTTCTATTAATGTGCTTTGATACAGCACTTTGGGAACATCCAACTTCTTTTGCAATTACCTTTCCCTCCTTATGGAGGGTGTCAATGATGGTTTTCTGCACAACTGTCAGGTCAACAGTCTTTCCCATGATTGTGATTCCTACTGAACCAGACTGAGAGACCATTTAAAGGCTCAGGAACCCTTTGCAGGTGTTATGGCTTAATTAGCTGATTAGAGTGGGACACTTTGAGCCTAGAATATTGCACCTTTTCACAATATTCTAATTTTCTGAGATTGTGGATTTGGGGTTTTCATGAGCTGTAAGCCATAATCATCACAATTATGACAAATCACGGCTTGAACTATCTTGCTTTGCATGTTATGAGTCTATCTCATATATTAGTTTCACCTTTTAAGTTGCATTACTGAAATAAATGAACTTTTGTACAATATTCAAATTTTTTGAGTTTCACCTGTATATATTATTAGGTACACTTGTTCAATTGCTTGGCAACACAAATAGCTAGTCAGCCAATCACATGGCAGCAACTCAATGTATTTAGGCATCTAGACATGGTGAAGACAACTTGCTGAAGTCCAAACCGAGCATCAGAATGGGGAAGAAAGGGGATTTAAGTGACTTTGAACGAGGCACGTTTGTTGGTGCCAGAAGGGCTGGTCTTAGTATTTTCAAAACCACTGATCTACTGATCTAATTGTGTTGTGGTGCCATTCATTTGGAATGCAAACCTAATGTACCGCTACAGTGATGGGCAATGCACCCACCCCTGCTGTACACCATTATGCACATGCTGCCCTTTTTGTTGTGCTGTATTATGATTGTATGATTTTCCTGTTGTAAATGTATAGGCTGCCTTATTGTACAGTAATGCTTTGCATTATCTCAGGTGCATCAACACAACACATGTAAAGAGGGCCTGAATATATCAAACAATGTAACATACAGTTATGGTGATTACCAAAGCACAGGATGATTGAATGGTTTTTGTTTTGCTTACAGATCATGACTCCAGCTCCTTAATATGCTAGTTTACACTTGTGATTGGGGGGGAGACAGGTGGTTTAGCCACATTTTTACCACCTACCAACAACCATCCCTCCTTGTAAGCCATGAAGGCAGCTGGAGGGGTGTGTACATACACTGCAACCAGGATACTTTGCTTCATGGTCGTGGCTCAAAATATAACCCGTCAAATCTGGCTGGCAGTGCTTACAATTAACTCATCATTGCTCTGGACTAGCTTCCTGATGCATGTCACATTAAAGACATAGAGGTCTATGTCTCATAGAGGACTTTTTGTACCCTATGTGATGAAAAAAAAAAGTTAAGCAAAAAATAAAGTTACACATAAGCACATAAAATCCCCCCCCCCAAAAAAAACATACGAACATATGCGTCATGGGCATTGATTATGATGCACATGTTACATATTGCCATGCACGTTGGAGTGAGAGCAATAATTCTAGCACAAGACCTCCTCCGTAACACTAAACTGATGGCCTACAGGGGGCTTTTGAAGTGTTGCCTATAGAAAATATAGGGTACTGAAGTCTGTCGCCATTTCAGGAGCGCACACACATTTAAGGTTTGACATGTTGGGTATCTATTTACTCGGTGCAACCTCATCTTTTATATTTTACAAAACATTTGGGTAATTTATTATGATTAATTGCTCTAAAGTTCACTATAGTGTTTTTTTTATTGAAATTTTGTGTTTCCTAGACCTTTGCGGTAATATCGTGTGACATAAAAAATTGAAACTACAACTATTTTATTCTCTAGGTTGTCTGCTTTCAGAAAATATTTTTTGGGGGGTTTGGGGGTTTTGTGTAATCTTCAGGACTAAAATTATTTTTTAAACGTGTGCAACAAAATGCAAAACTGGCTCTGGTAGCTTGCGCATGCTCATGGAATGGCAACAATCTACGGTACTTTAACCACTTCAATACCAGGCACATGTGCGGTCATGCAACACTGTAAATGTACCATTTTTTTCGCACAAATAGAGCTTTCTTTTGGTGGTACTTAATAACCACTGATTTTTTTTTATTTTTTCCTAAATAACCAAAAAAAAAAAAAACCCTGAAACTTTTGGAAAAAAAATTGTTTTTTCTTCGTTTCTGTTATAAAATTTTGCAAATAAATAACATTTCTTCATAAATTTAGGTCAAAATGTAGTCTGCTACATTTCTTTGGTAAAAATACCCCAAATTAGTGTATATTATTTAGTCTGTAGGAAAGTTATGTAATATATATGGTATATATATCTAACAATCGATCAATCCTTGTCACCAGTCCAGTACAGAGTTACTATATATCTGGTGTGGCGGTGATCAAGGACACTGACTGATGACAGTATTTAAAAAAAATAAAAATAATTATTTAATTTTTTATTTCATATTTTTCTATCTTTTTTTTATTTTGTATTACATTATTTTTACTTTGTTTACTGTTTTTATTTTCAAAACACTGTGACCAAAGCAATACAATATTACCATAGCAACATTTAACTACTCTTGGCAAGTGATCAGGTTTTTTTTTTTTATACATTATGATTGCTAATACCAATGTATTTCACTGATATTTGCAATCATTGTTAATGAATGAAATGGATTCATTCAGTCTTTTGTTGTGATTAGCTGTGATTGGGTAAAGCTCATCACATGATACAGATAGTCTGTGATTGGCCCTATCTGTATCATGTGACTGCTTTGACCAATCACAGCTAACAACATAAATTTTATACATTGCATTGCATGACAGGAAGCCACCCATTGTATACAATTGACAATTGATCTGCTGTGATTGGTCACAGCGGTCACGTAACACTAGCAACGGGACGGTGTAGTGATATGTCTTCAGCTGTGTCCCACGCAAAATATGACTTAGTCTTTGGTGGAGAAACCCTTGTTGGCAAGCACTGAGGTAAGATGTTTCTTGTAGTTGATAACCAGCTTTGCACACATCTCAGGAGGGATTTTGGTCCACCCTTTATACAGATCTTCTCTAAATCTTTATGGTTTCTTGGATGTCACTTAGCAACTCAAAGTTTTAGCTCCCTCCATAAATTTTCTATAGGATTAAGGTCTGAAGACTGGCTAGGCCACTCCATAACCTTAATGTGGTTCTTCTTGAGCCACTCCTTCATTGTCTTGGCAGTATGTTTTTGGGTTATTATCATTCTGGAAGACCCATTCACCACAACCCATCTTCAGTGTTCTGGGAAGAACGTTCTCATCCAAGATTTTACAATACATGGCCCCGTCCATTGGCCAATCAATGCAGCAAAGCCGGCTGTACCTTTAGCAGAGAAACAGCCCCAAAGTATAATGTTTCCATCTCCGTGCTTGACTGTAGGGATGGTGTCATAGTCAGCATTTTTCTTCCTCCAAACCAGGGGCGGACTGACCATTTGGAAACTCGGGCACTGCCCGAGGGCCCAGGGTCAATAGGGGGCCCCATGAGATGCCCCTGGTACCTTTTTCATAGGCTTTTTTGAGTTTGGGCAAGGACACAGGGTCACCATGATCCCCTATTGAGGGCCTGGGATCAGTAGGGGGCCCCATGAGATGCCCCTGGTACCTTTTTCATAGGTTTTTTTTGAGTTTGGGCAAGGACAAAGGGGCCCCATGATCCCCTATTGCCTGGGGGCCCCATGAGTTGTCAGTCCGCCCCTACTCCAAACACAGCGAGTTGCGTTAATGCCAAAGAGCTCAATGTTGCTCTCATCTGACCAAAGCACTTTCTATCAAATCCTTCTATTAATCATTTAGATCAGGGGTGGCCAACCTGCGGCTCTCCAGCTGCTGCAGGACTACAAGTTCCATCATGCCTCTGCAAGTCAGTAACTTCCCATCTTTGCAATGCCTCATGGGAAATGTAGTTCCACAACATCTGGAGAGCCACAGGTTAGCCACCCCTGATTTAGATGTTCATTGGCAACTTCAGAAGGGCCTATACATGTGCCTTCTTGAGGAGAGGGAGCTTGCGGGTGCTGCAGGATTCAATCCATGGCAGCGTATTGTGTTACCAATGGCTTTGCCTTGAGATCATTCACAAGCTGCTCCTGTGTAGTTCTGGGCAGATCCCTCACTTTTCTCGTGATCATCCTTACCCCATGAGGCAAAATCTTACATGGAGCTCCAGTCTGAGGGCGATTGATGGTTATTTCGTATTTCTTCCATTTGTGAATAATTGCTCTAACAGTTGTCTGTCTTCTTCTCACCAAGTTTCTTGCTGATGGTCTTGTAGCCCATTCCAGCCTTGTGGAGGTCTTCAATCTTGTCCTTGACATCCTTTGACATCTCTTTGGTCTTGTCAATGGTGATGCCTAAGAAAAAAATTCTGTGGACAAGTGTCTTTTATACACATAACAAGTTGTCGTTAGGACCTTCTTAAATTGACAGAACTAATCTGTGTACCACATGACCACATAGCGAGTCTGTGGGAGTCAGAATTATTATTGGTTGGTAGAGGTTCAAATATATATTTTACTCACTGAATGGCAACTCAATTTATAACATTTGTATCCTGTATTTTTTCTGAATTTTTGGTTGATATTCTGTCTCTATTATTTAAAATACACCTATGATAAATATTATAGACCCTTAATTTATTTGTAAGTGGGCAAACGTACAATATCTGCAGGGGGTCAAATAATTATTTTCCCCACTGTACATACAGCATTAGGGAAGCAGTGAGACTATATTGCTGTGGTTTGTTATAGAATTCTCCAAGCTAGCCTAGGATAAACGTAGTGTTTGTCTTTTGACTCAGGAAACCATTGTCAGTTCTCAGAAACCATTAGCAGTTCAGGCCTAGCTAACTGTTGACCTGCTTTGCATGGACTGCAGTGCATACTTTTTACCTCCCAGGACTAACACCATGTACAGATTACTGACTGGTTAATATTTAGGCCTCCTGAGGGCATTTTCCAGGTAGAAGGTTAGGTGGCCAAAACAACATTATTTTAAAAATAAGTTTAACAATTAAAACTGATGTAGCTCAGTGTTTTCTTTCAATTGTCTGTGTTCTTCATTTCAAAGCTTGAAAGACATGCCTGTGCTCATACAAGTAATGCGTTTACTAAAAGCATAGCCGACATGAGCCCTCTGGAGGAAATGATAATTATTTCTGAAGCACTAGAAGTCACTAGAGACCAAATAAAAGCTTGCATTTGTTTTTACAACCTGTAATAACAGCTTGTTTTCTTTACAGTTGCTGAACTAGATGTTGCTTCAGTGACTGAGCTCAGGACAGATCATAACAACACCCTGTAGTGCTGTAATGTTTGTGAACTTACTCAGAAGAAAAGTGAGACTATCAACCTTTGGCATAAATCAAAGCAAAACATTGTACGTTTCTATGCCACCGATTTTAGGATTGCAGATTTTTTTTAACTGATTCTTTGATGGCTCTGTTGCTGGTGCACCAAAGCACAATGTCCTATCTAAATTAACCCCCCTGGAGGTATTCCCAAGTGTAGCTCGGGGTAAAGTTTCAGCACCACAAGCGGTAACCCCGAGCTACACTCGGGATTACCCTGCAGTGTTGCTCCGGGATCTCTTTTTCACTTACCTTGTCCTGCGCTCCCGTGATGTTCCCCCTGCAGTGTCCCCGGCAATGTCCTCCAGCCGATGCCGGCATCTGTCTTCCGGGTTCTGTTCCCTGCGAGCGTTGGGACGTACGGGGACGGAACTGGCGGGAAATTTTAAAATGTGAAAAAGTGACATTCACTGAACACACTAAAATCACATAGTATAAAATTACTGTATCAAACCATTTCACATACATTTTGTCCCGAGTGCTTTGTCCTGAGCCCTGCCTGCATTTTTACTGTTCTTTTCTGCCTGGAAACTGTCCAAAAGTCCATTGCGTCCAAAAAGCGTCCCTTAGGTCAAAATTGGTTTTAGACCAGCTAGAGAACAGTGACAGTAAATTAGAACCACTTGCAGAATTGAGTGATAATGATTCGTGGGGAAATTCGTCATCAGACACTGAAAACGATTCTGCGACTGAGCTCAGTGATGTGCGAACTTGGCGCTCTATTTCAAATTTCAGTGGTTTGATTATATTATTGAATTACATTTATTGTTATTATATTATTATTTTTTATGATTATTTATTAAATTATAATTTATGATTTCGTGTTTCAAATTTTAACATACCCGGGATGTTTACTAGAGTCCTGTTCGGACAGATTTCAGTGAGTTATTCCTAAAAATTACAGGCCTACAATAAAAAAATACATATTTCCATGCAAAAAAAATTTACCGCTTTGAGCACAGAAATATGGACATAATCAGACCGCTAAACTGTACTGCTTGACTTGTTCAGATGCGAACCATTGCATGATGAAGATTATCAACAAACTAGGGGCCTATTTAGTAAGGTTTCATATACATATGTATTTAAAGCAGAGCTCAGCTATTGTACTTTGTACACTAAAGATCTCACTTGCACCCATTGTAGAAGCTTTGTAGTGACCCGGATGGCACAATACAGATATGTCTTTTTGAAACTTTCCTCTTCAAAATGAATGGAGTTAATGGTTGAACTGGATGGACCTTTGTCTTTTTTCAGCCAGACTATGTAAACTGAACCTGTGGTGCTGATGCCACACATCCCAATTTTTCCTTATTAAAATTCATGCAATCAACAAGCATAAAATCCTGATACAGAAAATACGTAAATAAATAAATATATACATTTAACACAAAAAAAAAGGAAAATAAATATAGCAAATTCTGCTCTCCAACAAAGGCTGTCTTTATAGCAAAAGCAAAATCTCATTACTTGGGGAAAATAAATCATACTAAGAATCACACCACTATACCAGACATCAATCTTGCGAGGTCAGGAAACAAACTTGCACCCGTCATGCATGCAACCCTTCTTAAAAAAACAAACTACTAACCAACGAAAACTAAGGGAGTTAAAAGAACAGCATAAGAAAAGAGTTTTTCACCCAGAGATGGACTATTCACCAAAGGTAGGTTTGATATTCCACTCAAGAAAAATACCTCCTGCATGCAAGAACAATGTGTTGGCACCATGGGACTGTTAACAGGGTGAATGGCCTTTGAGCAGGTCAAAGATGGCACCAGCTATGCTGCCCTCCAACAGATCAGGGGAAACCAGAGATGAAAATGTAAAAATAGAAAAAACAGAAGGCTCACCAGCTTAGCACATTACCTCAATATTACCTTTATTTGAATAAAAAGCCGATGTGTACTCACAACAGACATGAAATAAGTGGCATGTCGATCAGACAATACTTGAGAGCGACCTCATCCCCTGGACAAGTCCTTTTTGGGAATATTCTATCTGTTCCCAAAAGGGACTTGTCCAGGGGATGAGGTTGCTCTCATGTATTGTCTGATCAAAATGCCATTTATTTCATGTCCTTTGTGAGTACACATCGGCTTTTTATTCAAAAAAAGGTAATACTGAGGTACTATGCAATGCTGGTGTGACTTCTGTTTTTTTTTGTGTTTACTGATATTCCTCCCATGCTTATCCAGACAGCCAGAGGCTCCCTCTCTATCTTGAGACCCCAAATCTTCCCAATCTCACCCAGAATATTGTGCACCACTACCTCACCAGGCAGGACTTTCTTCTGTAGGGTAATCTGGCACTGTGCATTCCACATGTAGTAACAGACAACTATACTAACAGACCCCATTCTCTATTACTGCTCATGTAACAGTGTTTTCCAGAGGATGATGGTCAAAAGTATACCAAACCAACAGGGGTGATGAAATTGCATCACATTGAACAACCAAGGTGTAACCAAGCGACAGTTTTTTGCATAGAACCCATGTAGCACTACCCCCGCAGGAGCCCCTGATTTTAACTGGTTCTTCCCTAAACAGTGCAGAGACCACCAAAGCATATAAGCAGTTCATTCATTCAGGCTCCCATAAACAGTGAAGGTGTTGTCTTTTTATTATTTATTGGTTGCAGGGTAGGGGTTAGGGCGGAATTCTGAATTGTAATAGGAGGGACACTTCACAAGCCTAAGCTTCTTTATACAATCTTTTTGCCAGAGACAAAGGGGAATGGCCAGAATTGAGACACTGTAAGAGCTGTCTCAGTAAGAGCTGCCACTGGCACTTATTACCTCAAATGTCAAACAGCACACCATCACTAGGATCTTGAGCCCAGGTTAGTACTCTCTATGTCACAGGAGAACTGCACAGTTCCCAGCTTCCACCAGACACTCTTCAGTGAAGGAAAGATTAATACTCACAGAGCCACAGAACAGCTGTACACTTTCCAGCTTCCACCAGGAACTCTTCAGTGAACTCTCCATACTAGATCATTAGTTTAAATCACTTAATTATCTCCAATGGTTCTTAGGAATAGGTCTCCCAGCTCTGCTATAGCTGGGACCTCGATGAACATCAACAAACTTCAAGGGGCAGCAACTCCTGAGGCTTTGCGGAACTTCTCCAGTAGGACAAGAACCAGGATGTTCTAGACTCCAGACTATTTATGTTCTCCCCAGCAACCTAGTGGACACACCTCCCCAGGGATTGGCTGCAGCACAATAAATATTCACGCTACCCATTTGATTCTCCCAGCCCCTATGTTCTACAAGCCTCTAGAAGGCAGGAGGAAACAGTCAAACCTACAACCAGTGAGATCCAGGACAGCCCAAAGAAATGAATAGCTGTTCCAATGATTACAGAGGAGCCAAAGACAACTAAATTTACCTATCATCATGCAAACCTATGTAGGAGGGGTGCTACAATCATTCAATGCATAGAGATCAGCTTTTTTCTCTTTTCCTTTTTGGTGTTTGGCTGTTCTGAAACCTCTCAATGCACCTTCCCTCTCCATTATTATGGCTCTCTTCAGCTTTTCACTGCACCCCTCTCCCCTGATATGCGCGGCTGTATCTCTGCAGTATGTCACTGTCCCCCTCTCCCCTCATTGGTGTGGCGGCGTCACTGCAGTTTCTTGCTGCCAGTTTCGGGCAGGATTAACAACTATCTTTGTCACTTATCAAACAGATATTAAAAAACACTTTCAATTGTATATTTAACAGACCAGAAATTCACAAATAAGAAATGTTCACTAGGGTTTATGTTTACACGCTTTAACTATAGCTATGTACACTTGATGCGGGTTTATTGTTATACGGTAAGTGCATCAAAAATTGTCACAGTGCCTGGATAGATGCAAAAACTAAAGAAAATCACATTCTTATTTTAGGTGGCAAATATCTGGATGCTGGAGCATACATTCTATATCAAATCCACCTTGTTAATTAATTCCATGCATATCAACTAGTCCGTGAATGAACATTTCCCACACACAGACCAGTAATAACTCCCACAAGCATAGGTTTTTCTCACCTGAGCAGTGTCAGCGTCCCCCTCAAATCAGGGTCCCAAGAGCCCCCTCATTAAATCAGGGTCCCTGGAGTTCCCCTATCCCCCTTGAAGCAGAGTTCCATTACATTCCATTATAAGTGCTGCCAACAGCTACAGGTGAAAGCTAGGAAGTAGGGCACTGGGAGAAGGTCTGGAAGAGGAAGTTCTGTCCTCCTTCCAGAGCTCAAAGAATCTTGCCTCCCAGCTTTCGCCTATAGCTGTTGGCTGCACTTATAATGGAATGTAGTGTTCTAAAATAAAGATTACAAAAAAATGGAATATAGTGGACTCAGATGCAAGTGGGGTAGGAGAACTATGGGGACCCTAGAAACCAACCAGTAAAGCTGACAGTGGTGGACAGCGGCAGTGAGTGAAACTTGTGTTACAGAGTGGGAACATAGGATATTCCACCCCCTGATTTTGCCCATTGATTTACATCCAATAAATAACTATGCCCCTCATCTTTCAGACCTTTAGACTTTATAATACCACTTGGTTTATGGATATCTTTTTTTTTTTCATTTGTGAGGATTGGAAGGGGAAAGCCTCTTAGCATTGGTCTGGGTGTGGGGATTGGCCAGGCCTATGTAAATGTTATCTGTGAACCCGATCAGTGTATTTTCTACATTGCACCACTGCCTTCAATGGTTAGGTGCAGTACCAGAATATATGGATCTTCTTTAAGCTGCAGCCCAAAGGACAGCATTGTGGCAAAGAGTATTTTCTGATCAAATTTCCATTGAGTGCAGTGAGTGCACAGCCCCTTGCCCCTGGAGCCCAAGTATGCTGCATTCACTGCAAGCTTTATAGACATGTCAGTAGAGCTTTTTATCTTATAGAATAGTTGCAGGAACTCCCTTCTTCTAAGTCACCCCTTACTCAGCCCCCCTACCCACCACCGAGCACTGTCCCTTGGTTTAACCCCCTATCCATCTCCAACTACTGATCCTGTTAGAGAATACAGAGTCAATTATCATTTTGTGGTGCTAAGTAATTTGTATAGAATTTGTTAATGATAACAAGAAAAGCAGTAAAATAAATCCTAAGAAGCCAGCAGCAATATACCCCCAGCAACAACAAAAGATTTCCCTAGCAACAATAAACCCCCCCAGCAACAATGGATCACCACAAAAAAACACTACCACAGCAACAATAGTCCCCCAGCAGCAACATTAGATCTCCCACC